TCGGGGACATTGGATTTGAGGGGACAAGTTTCACCTTCAAGACACGAAATAGGATGGATGCGCACTGATCGTGGTAGCTTGAGCTTCATTGCAGAGGGGCTGATGACAGTCTTGACTTCAAAAAGTCCAATAGAATGAGGAGCGAGCGAGACAATGCTTTGAATAAATATTTTTTGGATCATACTTGGGAGCGTGTATCTGGAAGCAGTCAGCATAGTGATGTTGCCGCACTTACTGGTTTCAGGTCCATCAACTGTGTCACATGTGATGCTGGACTCTATTTTTAAGAGAGAGGTTGGAGCCAAATGACTTTTTCTGATTCTTTCAGCTTCAGGTAATTCAGGAGCTATTTTAGGAGGAGTGATTGCAGTCATCGTGATTACAGGAGTAGTAGCAGCAGTAGGCTTCATGCTTTATAAACGCAGAAAAGGTAAATGACTTTCTCCCTTCCCTTTGCAGTTCAAATTGTTTATGTTTTTTCTACTGAGTATGATTTTTTGTCCGGCCCCAATCCCTCAGGGCAACAAGAACCACAAAGTACAGACAGTGATTCTACATACGTGAGTAAATGTTTTATGAACTACACTATGAAAACTTGTTTGAAAACAGTGTTATGGTCTTGAAGATAAAACCAGATGTCTATGATGACTCTAATTAAACTGCTGCTTTGTCAAAAATATTTTATTAGTGTGTCAGAGTGATGTTCAACAACATCCATTACATGAAAAACAGAGAATCAGATGAAGCACATTCAGATGGATGTGGTGTTTATTTGTTTATTTTTGAACTGAACACACTGTTTTCCATTCATAATGATGACATGTTTTCAAGCTTTATTTTTTTATCTTGTTAACAGTAACACGGAACTTGTGCCGATGGCAAAGGGAAGGTCTACCATGAATGCTGAAACACCTGACACCACCCAAGCAGACCCCAGCAGCTCTGCTTCAGCACTGAACTCTCTTAATGTGTTGGCTCTCTGTTTAGTAAAGCACAAACATTCATAAGTGAAAAACCTGCTAAAGATGACCTTCAAATGAGTTTCTTGGAGCCATAGAAACTCATGCATGCACTGAGGAGCAAGAACACTGAGACATTAATTTACTTTTTTTCCCATTTTGTTCGCGTCATATCCTAATGCTTGATTTTATCAAAGAAAAGTTTTCATTTTACAATCATAACCTAAATATTTTGATATGCCTCCCAGCTTCATCTTGGACCCTTGAGCTTCGGGTGTGCAACAGAATAAATCTAAGGAGAAGAAATGAGCCTGACTCACCGAGGCAGCTTTGATTTGTCTGTGAAAACTGCTGATAAGTTGAGTTTAGCTACTAACTCAGGGGTCGGCAACCCGTGGCTCTGGAGCCATGTGCAGACGACCTTTCACCTTTACATTGCAGCTCCCTATGGCTTTGGGACATAAGTAATCATTTGAGTGTGCTGTAGACATTTGTTGTTGTTTTTGTTGTTGCTTTTGTAGCTCAAAATATACGTTACAAATGCCAAGGTAGGTATCCCCAACAGAATTTTTTTCCCCTGCATTAGGAGCGCACTCTGGGATGTCCAAATCTCAGACAAACACTAACCCTCATTTTGGGGTTTTTTAGTGCATAAACACTTCTTATAATAATTTATTGGCCCTGAAATGTTGGTGTTACCTCTTTATACAGTAAAGTTAATGGGGAACTTTCCTACAAATAAAATGCATCCTCAGTTTGTTGAAATAATCCTGTCCGATAACACGTGAGGAACAACAAATGAATAATTTTCTCGTAACAACAGCATGCCACAATTTTAGTTTGCCGCATGTATACTTTAAGTTCATTTGAAAAAGACTTTCAACGTAGCAGGTTTTTCATGTTTTTGTTTTTTGTTTTTTTTTACAGTGTTCTAAATGTTCAAAATGTTTTTGCTAAAATACATTTTCACAAGCAAGACATTAGCCTATTTTGTATACATAGTATAAAACTAAAAAACAATATATACAGTGTTATCTTCATTTTATATGTCAAAAAACTTGCAGCTCCAGGTGTTTTCTCTGTTGTAGAAACCAGGTCCATATGGCTCTTTGAGTGTTAAAGGTTGCTGCCCCTTTGTACTAGCTGGTAGCTAACAAATATGTCTTCTACTGTGAAACGAAAAATAATAATAAGCAATAGTTTTACACGATGTTAGCGATACTTTAGATTGAAACCATCAGGTGGGCACATGGCTGCTTTATTTTTCTTGTTGTTTTCATCTACATTTGTATTTTCATGTTTTATGCAGTTAAAACATAATTTATAATTCTATGAAACTGAAGTCCTGCAGGGTTTACAGCCAGCAACCATTTTCAGTCCTTAATCTACTGAGACGGGGGTTCGTTTAATTTAAGTGCAGCAGCAGTCATATCAAACTTGAAGATGATCATGTTTGCAGCTGTTTGATTCATCTGGTATTTAATAAACTCAGAGGGGAGAACATCAAGCTGCTAGAAGAACCAAACATCGTAAAGTGGATTTATATATCATTTGGTGGATTTTTACAATAACTTTCAAGAAGTACTGCTGCACTCTGTGATGAAGAGGAGTCAAATATTGAATCTTTAATGGTAACAGAGGAATCAACACACTGGCCTCAGTCATATTACATGTGTTACATTGCCACTATGGCAGAATCTCACCTGCTGTGTCTGGAAAAGGCAGCCAAAAATAACAGGTGGGTGAGAGACCCGAGGAGCATCAGTAACTCATAAGTTTATTTGTTTGTCTTTTCAAATGCTGCCATCTCTGAAGTGACTGCTGTGTGTGTATAATGTGTGAGAAATAAAAACTAAATAAACAACTTGACTAAAATATTAAGAACAATAATTTTTTCAGTGTATATTTAGCAGCTGAAGATGGTCCCTGCAAGAAGCAACATCTGTACATTTCTTCTGTAAAAGACGAACACAGTAACACACACAAACACAGAATTACTCCAAAATGTAGTTGAGGGAGGAACTACTGCAGTTTAGTAGCTAGCAGGCTGACATCCACATCTATTCAAAGAATTCATAGTAAGCCTTGTAAAATTATGATATTATTTTATGCCATGTTAGACCCCGAAATAAAGATTGTGAATTATTATGTAGTTTTAGTTTGCATTATTCTCCTGAATTAGAAGAAGGTGATAATTATTGCAGTATTTAAACTGATTTGCATTGCATTAGACTGCTGATTTATTGTGAATGAATGATATTGTTTATGATGCATTATACTGTTGAGTTATAAGGAATACTGTTCGCAGAAAGTCATCGCCTTATTTGTCTGATTAGAAGAGAATAGAACATGCTGGAGTTTTCTGCCCCATCTCAGCAGGAGCAGATAAACAGGGAGCCAAGGTCGTAGCTTAGGCGCCGTGGGAGAGAAAGAATGTGAATGTTTAGGCTTTTATGATAAGATGGGAGAACCAGAGGCTATAAGAGTTTGAGCAATGCTCCACCACTTTGAGATTTGAGGCTGTCTGCATCAGTGTCCATCTCCCACGTGTGTGATCATTAAATCATCGTTTGACTCAACCCGACCTTTTGACTCAACAAAAGGTTAAGGTTCAAAATAATTAAAAACATCCAAAGTATTATCTTCATATGTTAACCTGAAATACACCTTACTCTTTTGCTTGAGACAGATGTGAATCAGTTTGTTTGTTTTTTTCATAGGCTAAATGTTTGCAATAGCAAACATGACACGCTTATGCTCATGTAAGAAGTGTGCCAACTGTTTAGTTCTACTGATGCAAATTCCTGAGTTTCTGGTGACATCCTAATCAGGAAAGAAAATCTAACCTGACACGTTGCCAACAGCAGCTAAAACATTTAATCTTACTGAAAAGAGTGAAAGAGTAGCAGATGCCATGTCCCCATGTTCATAGGACACAGAGGTCTGATTCTGGCCTGTGTGATTGTATTTCTTATTACAGGATGAACAATGGAAGGTATTCAATGACCAGTGGAGGTGAAATAAGCAGAGAACAGTTCATGGTGCTTATTGGTGAAACCTCTCAGTTCAGAGTGCGTGGGCACGGAGGCAGAAACATTCCTGCACACTTGCGTAATGACAGCTACATGTAAGCACGCTTTCTTAGAAAACTAGGTGGCAAACATCAGGCAGCAGTACTTGTTCTACAACCAGCTGATAGAGTTCACTGTAAACCCAAAACTGCAGTCTCAACTCAGGCTGTATAGTTTTTCTTTACATGTCATCATTTAAATGCTCTTATCATTTCCCATAATGCCGAGGCTGTGAAAACTTGCAAATGACACATTAGAGTTTTCATTTGATGCACTGAAACGTGGAGCTGAAATATTCTGATGTTCTCCACTGGAGAG